AGACTTGCAGAAAGCACCTGTCTCAGGGGTGCTGGTTGCAGGGACCTGCCCACAGGTTTTGCTTTTCCATTTCTCTAATATCCAGCACCCCATGCACCTTGTGTCTGCATTCTGGGTCCGGACTTCTAGAGCTGGTTGTTTAGCAGTCCTGGGCTTTCACTCCCTCCCCATTCCAACTCCTTTCTTCCTGGTGGGTTCTGGGGTGGGGGAGCATTTGGGTCCCGCCTGGCCATGGCTTGTATCTTACCCCCTTCATGTGATGCTGAGTTCTCACAGATGTAGATGTATCCTGACTGTTGTACTGCATCCACTGGTGTCTCTTTTAGGAATAGTTGTATTTATTGTATTTTCATAAATATATATGTTTTGGGGAGGAGATTTCCTCTGAACTACTCACACTGCCATCGTCCCGTGTTCCTCTTGAATACTTTTTTAAAAATATTTTCCCCTAGTTATTTTACCTTTTCGGTTGCTATTGTAAATGGATTCTTCTCTTGCATCACATCCTCTAACTGAATGTTGCTTGTATATGTGAACATGAATGGCTTGTGTCTGTTGATTCCATAGTGTGTTAACTGTTCTCAGGGTTTTTCAGGTGATTTTCTTGCATTCTCCAGGAATCTTTTCATCTTTTTGTACCGGCTTTAAAGGCAGTATTATATTTGCTTTATAAACAGTTTTGGAAATTTTCCTTCTCTTTCTAACAGAAAGAGATTATCTACCTTTTAAAGACTTGGTGGGCTCTCCTGTGAAACTAGGTGATCCTGGCACTTTAGGGAGCACCTCCTTGACCAATACGCTATCTTGTATTATTTCTGTCAGTTGTTTCCTACCTTCCCTGAAAGAGGACTGTACACTCACATTCTTAGCCATGTCACTTGCACTACCTCCCTGTGGAAGGTTATAGTTCTGGGTCCCTCTGAGGTCTGGTTGGCCTTGTTGCTTGTTTTACCAGTGAAGTGGAGTGGACGTGATGTGTGCCAGTTCCAAACACAAGCTTTAAGAATTATTGTCATTTCCATGAGCTCCTGTGTTCTTGTGTCCTTTGCCCTAAGAGTGGCATGACCTGGTAGGGCCTGCTGCTTCAGCCTGGATCCTGGAATGAAGAAGATGAATAGGAAGTGTCAATCAGGGCTACACACAGCTTGCAGGTGACATGTAATATAGGCGGAGAAATAGATTTTTTGTTTTGTAAGCCACTGGGATTTGAGAATCCTACCACAGTATTACCAAGAGAAAAATGATTAGTACTTTTTTTTCTTGTGGAATGTGATGAGCTTCCACTTTCCATTACTTCCAGGGTTCTTTTTGGTACTCCAAAGATTATTTATATTATCTAAAATTACACACTGATTTGCATGGAGTTGAAGTGATTTTGAATAATTTACTTGTGATTTTGAATAATTTTCTTTTTCATTTATATTCCTCTTATCACTTCTTATTTTGTCTGTTTGTGTTAAAAATTTTTAGCACCTTTCTTGATAAGCAATTCACACACCATACAATTTGCCCATTCCAAGTGTATGGTTCAATGGCTTTCGTTTATATTTTTAATCCACTGAATTGTGCAATGATCACCACAATCAAGTTTAGAACATTTTCATCACCCCCAAAAGAAACCTATATTCCTTGGCCCTCACCCCCACCTGGCTATCCCTCCCTGCCTGAGACAACTGCTAATGTACCTCTGTCTCCATAAATTTGTCTATTTGAGACACTTCATATAAACTGAATCATACAATGTTGTCCTTTTTGTCTAGCTTCTTTCACTTAACATTATGTTTTCAAGGTCCATCTATGTTGTAGCATGTACCAGTACTTCATTTCTTTTTATTGCCAAATATTATCCCCTTTTATGGATATGATATAATTTAATTATCCATTCACCAGTTGATTGACATTTGGGTTGTTTCTAGTTTTTGTCTTTTATGAATAATGCTGCTATGAACATTTGTGTACAAGTTTTCATGTGGACATATGTTTCCATTTCTCTCGAGTACACTAGGGTGGAATTGATGGGTCATATGACAATTCTATGTTTAACTTTTGAGAAACTTCCAGACTGTTTCCCAAAGAGATTTAACATTTACATTCCCACTAGCAGTGTACGAGGGTTCCAATTTCTCCATGTCCTTGACAGCATTTGTTATATGACTTACTGATTCTAGCCATTCCAGAGGATGTGAAGTGGTGTCTCATTGTGGTTTTGATGTGCATACTTTTATGTGTTTATTGACTGTATACTTTATTTGGAGAAATGTCTATTCAGATCTTTTGCTCATTAGTAAATTGTTAGTTATTTTTTTGTTATTGAGTTGTAGTTGTTCTTTGTATAGTACAGATAAAGATCTCTTATCAGAGATATGACTTGCAAAAGTTTCTCCCATTCTATGCATTGTCTCTTTAAAAAATTGATTTATTTTTTATTGAAATATAATTGATATACAATATACAATATTATATTGGTTTCAGGTGTACAACATAGTGATTAAACCATTATATGCATTACTAAATGCTCATCCCGACAAGTCTGTAGTCTGTCAACACACAAAGATATTAAAATATTATTGACTCTATTCCCTATGCTGTACTTTCACCCTCATGACTAATTTATTTTATAATTTGAAATTTGTATTTCTTTATCCCCTTCACCTGTTTCACCCATACCCCCAACACCTTTCCCACTATGGGCTTGTCCTTTGAAGTACAAATGTTTTAGATTTTGAAGATATGCAATTTATCTGCTTTTTGTTTTGTTGAGTATGCTTTTGGTGTCATATCTAAGAAACCATTACCTAACCCAAAGTCATGAAGACTTCTGGTTATATTTCTTCTAGTATTTTTTTGCTCTCTAGTTTTGCTCTTATATTTAGGTCTTTGACTTATTCTGAGTTAAGTTGTCCCAGAACCTCTTGTTGAAAAGACTGAAGAACTCGTTTACTTTTTTACTTTGTTTTCTGATTTCTAATTCAATTTTTGCTTATTTCTTTCCATATTCAGTTTATTTTTATTGTTCTTTTCATGTCAGATGCTTAACTCACATATTATATTATTTACTGTTATTTATGTATTTAAAGCAATGAATTTTCCTTTGATTACTGCATTAGCAATATTCCTAGATTCGGACTTGTAAGCATTATTATCATTACTTTCTAAAAATTCTGAGATTTAGATTTTTATTTCTCCTTTGGATCCAAGAGTTAATTAATAGCAATATTAATAACTTTGTTTCCAGGTAGAAAGGACATTTTTGTTTTTTGATTTTGTTATTTATTTATACTTTCATTGCATTTTTGCCTGCTTAAGCAGTAACATAACTTCTTGTTCAAATAGTGTTAGTGGCTTTTTTTTTAACATAAAGAGTAACATCCAGAGTCTTTACTTTACATTCCAAACATTCTTACATTTCTTACTCAGTTCCCTTTCCAGCTTTATCTCATCCTGCAATCCGTCCTCCACCTCAAGCTCAAAGCCTCTGCTCCCATCTCTGAGCCTGTCCAGGCTTCCTACCACCTGGCCTTTTCAAGAGTTTGCCTCAATATGCTGCCCACATCCGTTTGGTAATCCTGAACTATATCTATGGTCCAGAAAGCCTCCCTTTTCTGCCTCAGTCTGCTTTGTATTGGCAGTGTGTGTGTGTGTGTGTGTGTGTGTGTGTGTGTGTGTGTGTGTGTGTACTCACATCCAACCAGTTTTTGAGATTTTGGAGACTAGGGATTATGATTTCTTCTGTCCTTACAGATAATCAAAGAGAGTTATCTGTGTATATATATTTACTAAATAGCCGATTGTTAAATTGGTTTTGACAGAATTGATTATATGAAACCCTGTCTTCAGAATATTGACTTTTGAGCTTGATGGTATCAGAACAGGTAAAAATCTGCTGTCTGAGAGTGATTTGAAGGCACTGAATGGGTGGAGAACCAGGAATCAAAACTTTACAGGATTTAAATATGGGCAGTTATGGCTATCTATTACACTGACAATTCTCTGAGGTTAAGGATTATCCTTGTCTTACTTATCCAGCATTTTACCAGATCCAGAGTTGGTACTTAATCTGTGGAATGAATGAATGAATGGGCTCCCCTGTGTCTTGAAGCCCTGAGAGTAGAGCTAAAGAAAACAAAACTACAACTGAAGAAATTTGGGATGGAAAGGAGTGTAGAGACATAAACAAAGCAATCTATTTTAATTATTTTAAATTGTGTCTCCCACACTTCCAGGCACATTGTATTTGTTAGGTTTCAGTAGAAGTATACAATGCCACAGCATGTGATCAGTACAAATATGTAAGGTCATTCTTTCTTCCCCAGAGTTCAGAGAACGGCGTATTAATCAGTTGTCTAGAGGGAAGTATATTGAGAGACCTTCCCTGGGTCTCCCGGAGGCCTCTCTCCCCAACTGCTGGGCTCTTGGCGGGAGGGAGCCAGACTGGTGTCTTTGGTTTCTTCCTCTGGGGTCTCTCGGGGCGGCCAGAATAGCAGTGCATCCTCTTCCTGCTGTCCCTGTGCATGTGTGTGGTCACAGTAGCTGGGAGCCTGCTCACCATCTTGGCCATCAGCACCAACACCCATCTCCACATGCCCATGTACGTCCCCCTTGCCAGCCTGTCCTGTGCTGGCATCCTCTGCACCTCCCCCACTGTGCCAAAGGCCCTAGGGAACATCCAGACCCAGAGCAGGTCCATTTCCTACTCCGGGTGCCTGGCTCAGCTCTACTTCTTCTTGACTTTTGGGGACATGGACGTCTTTCTCCTGGCCACAATGGCCTATGACCACTATGCAGCCATCTGCCACCCTCTCCACTGCACAATGGCCATGAGCTGCCAGCGCTGGGCCCTCCTGGCTACTGCTTGCTGGGCCCTTATGGGTCTTGTAACCGTGACCTGCACATTGCTCATCTTTCGACTTTCCTTCTGATCTTCAGAGATAATTCCTGACTTCTTCTGTGATCTGCGGCCCCTCATGAAGGTGTCTTGCTCTGACACTCAGCTCAATGAGCTTGTGCTCCTCTTCTTGGGGGGAGCAGTCATTTTATTTCCCTTTATGCTCATCCTGGTCTCTTATATCCGCATTGCCTCAGCCATCCTTGAGGGGCCCTCTGCCCAGGGAAGGTGCAAGGCCTCCTCTACCTGTGGCTCCCACCTGGCTGTTGTTGCCCTGTTCTTTGGAACAGTGATCAGGGCTTATCTGTGCCCCTTGTCCTCTTCCTCCAACTCAGTAGAGGAGGATAGAGCCGCTGCTGTCACGTACACAGTGGTGACTCCCCTGCTGAACCCTTTCATTTATAGCCTGTGGAACAGGACATGGATAGGGCCCCAGGGAGGTTCCTCAGGGGCAAAGCTTCCTTCTCATGGGCACAGTGACTTCTGCAGAGACTCTGCAGGGCTCCTCCATCCCCTCCAGGGGGAACTTCACAGAAACTTCTACCTCAGGTTTCTCATTCATGAATCCCACATGGGCTTTTTTGCCCCTCATTCCAGAGTACCTCTGTGAGTTTGATATTGTTCAGGAAAATCAAGATTTTACATCGTGCTTTAATCTACTAGGAGTTGACTATTTACTCATTTATTTTACTTTTCATAAGAAGGAATGTTTTTTGCAATGTTCATAATTCTAAAAATCTGTAAGTTCACCAAAACTCAGTCACTGAGGTCATGGAAAATGCATTAATGATCAAAATATTAGTAAGGTCCCTATTGGATGGCAATGAGTACTACTTAAGTGAACAAGTATATTTTTTCTTACAAAAATAGAAAGTTATGCAAACACTTATTGCCTCAAGGTTATGAATCAAAAACCTTTGTAACTATTATAACAAAGCTCTCAACAACAAGGGAATGATCTATGTTATTTCAGTAAACAGATTTATGAACAATTTATAATGAGATGATAAAATAAATTTAAATTAAGTGTTATGGTACCTAACGTGCAGCTGTTCTCTAACCTTCCTTACCTGCCTAAGCAGTAGCTGATTGTGAAAGATGATTTTCACATTTGCAGTAAAGGAATCTTGAGTTTTTTCAAGCCTCTTCATATTGCAACTTGTGGCCTCTAGCCTCAACCAAGATTGAATTCAACATAATTGGAACTTATGATTTTTATTCTACAGTGTAAAACTCACAATTCCATACCGAGACTGAGAGTGAATGCAAAATCCTTGTCTAAAGTTGAGGTCGTGGAGCAAACTCAGCAGAGCTTCACGAAGAAAGAGTCCTGGACGGACTCTGGGGGTGCCCGGAGCCCAGCCTCAGTGCCTCCACTTATTTTCTATGAATCTAGACTTCTTTTCTGTGAAATGAAATTATTTGTATTTGTTCTGCCTACTTAACTGGAATTCCATGGGGAAAATGCTTGCGATTTGGCTATTATAATAGAGAAACTCCAAATAATTGTAGCTTTAAAAAGGAGGATATTTATTTCTCTCTTAGGTTACAGGCAAGTGGTCTGGGTCTGATGTGCTGACTACACAACCAAGAACCCAGGCTACTTCTCTCTTGGTTTTCTGCCAACCTCAAATAACGTTTCCATATCCTGGTCCAAAATGGCTGTTAAGCTTCTGCCAATAAGTCTTCATTTCAACCCGTAGGAAAGGGGAAGGCCACTGAAGGATACAGCTTTTCCCACTAAGGGCAAAATCTGGGAGAAGTTGTACATCTCTTCCATTTATATCCTTCTGGCCAGGGGTTGGTCATTTGGCCTCACCTGGCTGCAATTGAGTCTGAGAAGTGTATTCTTTATACTTGGTGCCCATATTCCCAGCTAATATTATACTAGTATGGAAGAAGCAAAAAACTTTGTATTAGGGGAAAACCAGTCACCTCTGCTACATGATGATAGTTAAGAACCCTGCTAGCATGAAGAGCTAATGAATGCAGGTGAGCTTGAGGGCAGTCAGCCACTCTCTGCATCTTCAAGGCTGTTGGAATACAAGCTAAGGAAGTTTCTTCCTAATTATCACAGATGTTGTCCAGTGGAGTGGCAACAAATAGGAGTGGCCGATGGTAACTGCATGGTACCTGAGACATTCTTCTCTGTGCATCCTCCGTCCCCCGCCCCTGCTCCAGGTGAGCACCTCCAGGGACAGAAGCTAGGACTCTGGTTCTTCTGAATAGCTCCTACAGAATGGTAGCAATACCTCTGGTGAACGTGAGTTCACATGTGAAATTAATGTGACATCTGAGAGTTCAATCAGAATAAAAATAAATCAACAACATATACTACATAAATCTAAATTATTGGAAAAGAATTAGAATTTAATAGAAGCCTGATGAATGTACTCAAGGATATGAGGGAAGATACTAAGACTATGAAGCATAAAAAGAACAAAGTGGAAACATTAGTTATGAAAACATAACAGTTGAAGTAAATAATTCAAAAGATGAGATAAATAACAGGATGGATACATGTAAACCATGAATTAGTGTGCCAGAATATCAGAGTGTTACTCTCTTCAAGGCAGCAAGCAGTGAAGAAGAAAAATATAGAAAATACGGGGGGAGGAGCAAGAGAGACAGAGGACATGAATGAAAGTAACACTAGAAAATGAGTTCCATAAAAAGAGAAAAAGGGAAGGAAATATTTCAAGGACCAGTGGTCATAGATTTTCTGGAAATACAGTATATGAAAAACTTGAGGATGATTCACAGAACCCATAAAGCTCCAAACAAAAGTAATAATAATAAAAAAAACTTTTAAATACAACATAGTAGAATTTAAGAACAGCACAAAGACAACATTTTTAGTTTCCAGAAAGAGAGGATTACATACAAAGGAGCAATAGTAAGATTGAATTCAGATTTCTCAGCAATATACTAGCTAGAAGGAGACAACTGAGTAATATTTGTGAAGTATTAAGGAAAACAACCTTAAATTTAAAAACCAGCATCCAGCCAAATAGTCACTTAAATTTGAGGGCATAATAAAATTATTCTCAATCATACAAGGCCCAAATAGTTCTCCAAAGATCTACCTTGAAAACACTCTTGAACAAAGTACTCAAATAAGAAGGAAAACATCCATGAAGATGATGCAACAAGTATGGGAAATAGGCGTGAAAATAACAGCGAAGTTTATTCTTGACTGAAAGAGCAAAGACAAAATAACAGAAAAATGTCCAGAATAACATCCTAAACACTAGATAAACTACTACCTAGTCAACACTATGCAGTGGATGAGAGTAAAGGAATACAAGGACAGGAGGGCATGATAAATAACTTGTCTTTCTGGGGGAAAATAGAGATGTGTTGAAGAAATTCATGGGGATAAATTAAAAAGCATGTGTTTTAAATTAAGGGAAAGTATCTGAGCTTGCAAACTAGAATGTGTAACTTTCAAACCAACCTCAAGAAAAAGATCTATTAAATGGGAGGCAGTAAGTGAGGAAAAAAAATAAGAACATACAGCAAATGAAAATGACTAAGTTTGAGTATACTATACATATTATATCAGTAAAATACCTGTCCTTTTAGGTAAAAATAAAATATTAGCATGTACTATGCTACAAAGGAAGTCTCAAGAAATTCTAAAGAAGGAATATATGTTTGTTCTCCATTAATATGTTCTGGAACCATAGTGCATAATGCAAATATGTTTTTTAACCATTGTGCACCAAGGTTAGAAATTGATAATTAAAGGAGAGCTTTAAAATGATCAAATATCTAGAAATTTAAGAAGGTATTACTAAATATGAAGTGAATATACTACATAAACCTTGGGTTCAAAAGGAAATCATGAGAGAATTATGGAATACTTGGAACTAAAAAACAATAAAGAAAAACTACAAATCAAAAGCAGAAACAAAAGAGGTAGTTTTGCTTTTAAATAGCCTTATGTCAGAAAAGAACTACAGTTGAAAACAAATGATCTGAGTATCCAAATTAATAAATTGAACAGAACAACAAGAGTAATTTTAAAGAAACAAGGGGAAGAAAGATAATGACAGAAATCAGTGAAATAAAATATTGCAAAACAGCAAAAAATAATATCAAATAGAACTTAGCAGACTTAGAATTTATATAAAAAGGATAATATATCGTGACCAAGTAGAGTTTATCTTGAGAGTGTAAGGCACATTCAACATTAAAAAGTCAATAATTGAATTCACCATATTATCAGATTCACCTGAAGAAGTGCATGGCGTTTGTGTTTGATACAGTCCATGCCTGTGTCACTCAGACTCATTTGTAGTTTCCATTTTATCCAGCTCCGTTCTATAACATGGGGCCCCCATCTGTTGCTGTTAAAATGCATTCATTCTCACTTATTCCCAAACAGGATAGTTAGGTATCCCATAATCCAGAATTCTCTTCAAGTGGTGGCCAGTTATGAGTTGGAAAGTTTTAAGCAAAAGGGTAGTGAAATAATACACAGTCCCACTACTGTAGGTTGTCCCAAGGTTATAATTAAAGTTCATAATCTCTACTCTCCATTCCTCAGTCTAGATTCCCTCCCCTTGGCTATCACGTTGATGGGTCTGTGTAGATGCCTGGTAGAATGACTGAGATTTTCATGCCTGAAGTAAGTTCTTAGTTACTTTGCTCTTTTTGTGTTGTGTTGACTGAAATTGTTCATTACCATTTACTATGGTTCATGGAAGTACTAAGAAATTCCCAGATGAGTGCCCTAGGTTTAAGACATGTTATTTCCTGTCACTGTTGTGCGGTAGTGATCATAAGTCTTCATGGTAATCATTGTCAGTTATCCTAGTTAAAATGTGACCCCCATCTTTTCATGTTGTCTTACTAATAAGGAGCCTGTATAGAGAATGGATTGGAATGAGGGAAGAGAAGCGGGGATTTGGGTGTCCATACAGTAAGGAGAATGAATCATAAAAATAGTGTTAATGCAAAGAGTAAGAAACACAATTGGATCTATAGCATAGAATTATGCATGCAAAACACATTGACATACAAAAACACATGTTCCTCGAGGATACATGCATGTATTGAGGTGGCTGCCTATTTGGGGGAAGCAGGAGGGAGTGGAGACTGGAGCTAATAAAAGGTAATAAAGCCAGAGAGACTCCTTGCAAGGAATGGTGGTGATGACATGCTATGAACCGAAGTACACGATTTACTCAACTCTACCCCCAAAGAAAAGAAATCAAAACAACAGCAACCACCCACTTTGGGTCTGTAGCTAGGACCGTGACCCATGCTGCCACCTGAAGGCAGCCCTCCTTGGTCTTGGGCTCCCCCAGGGTTTCTGTCTGAACCCCAATGCCCCACAAAGTCCTTTAGTCTGGGTATGGCTGCCAAATCAGTGTTGCTAAGGGGAAATGCAAGTGGGACCTTCCTCTATTTTGCCATATTTCTCTATCTTTCTCTCTGGCTCCCTCCTTGCTCTAAGAAAGGAAGCTGTCATG